AAAACATACATTTAACTGGCCAGTACATAAGCATAAACATTTCGAACACCTGTGGGATGCAACTGACTTTCGGATATTTGTAGAATAGTCATTAGATAACCTGTAACCGATGTCGGTACAAAACAAAACACTGTTAATTAACTTAACCTATGTGTAAATAAAACACATAGTGTCTTTAAAAAAGTATTGATATAATGGTTATTATCATATCATTACATTGTTATATCCATGGTTTCAAGCAAGTTTACTTACATTATATATCACACTATTATTTAATTAAAATAATATTTTTCTTATAAAGAACGTTTCTCTTTATTGAGCTGTATGTATTTTGTATTTTATATGTTTACTGGCATATCTGAGTAGGTCCGTTCTATATTCCGAGGAATAGTCTGAGGAGGTTTCCTCCGTGCATGCCAACGGATGCTACGGTTCCTCTTAAAAAAGGGGTTTTACGTAGGCGGCCAGTATTCCTAAGACGAATATACGATCAAACCTGTTGAGTAATTGTTCTGGTTTGGAATGTCCTAGACATTTCTATGGCAGTTTTGATCGTGATATGCTTGATAAATGTATTTATATATACAAATGGCTGTATCAGTCTTTTCAAAATTTAACTAATTTTTATTGATAATATTTATAAAATATATTTTATAAGCTTCGGATATCAAGTGTTTATCATATCTGGCATTGTCAGCACATTGTCTCTTTTTCGAAACATAATTTTAATTGATTATATCTGAATAAACATATTAAGCTACCGAAGCATATATAAACAATATATAAAATATCACTTCCGACTGTTGGGATATGAGTATTAGTCATATAATATTATAATTGATATACATGTAATTGTTAATATTATTCTATAACAGATTGTCTGGAATATTTAATGCTCTTATTCAGCCGTCGATATGGCGAAAATCTAACATAAAATTACAGGTTTTTGCAATCGATGACGAAGCAAAACCTATTTTATAATATTCTATTTTATATAAAGGTTCAAACTCTATTAACTTTATGTTACTTAATGACCAGTCATGACGGAAATTTTATGCCGACCATAAATAAAATAAGTTAAACATATATGTTGCATTTATTATCAATTGTTCCTTTAAAGTGACTATGTTGGAAAAATAATAATGGTTTGTATTTTGTTTAAATAGTGAATTTGAGTGATAATTAATTGGTGATATGTTGATGATGAATAATGTAGACCTTGGTCATTAAAAATATTTTTCAGATTTCAAAGAAATGCTGCACATTGGCTATAACACATGCCAGGTTTGAAGACTTATGTATAACTTGACAGGACCTGATGTAAGCACATTGGCCACTTTTGATGGGTGTTGCAGGTATATCAATACAAATGCATATTGTCAGGTTCAAAACTAATATATTAATACTAGAAATAGTCTAGGGTGCTGTTTCGGTTAACTTTTCGACTTTATTTAGGGGCGGACATTTCTTCGCTCGGCACTAATATTTTTCCATTTTGCTCAAATATTTACATAGAATGTCACAAATAAATTGCTTCTATGTCTGTTTCCCATATAAGAATGTTCTGTGTTTCATTTACGGGCATAGATAGCATAAAAGCTTCAAATAAATAGCATTTTAAGGCTTCTGTCTTAAAATTTACTTGGTTTCAGGGCATGAATATCAACATATACTTAGAAATTGAAATCCATTGAAAAATGTAGCATAATTCAGTTAGGTAGCCTCCGAATAGCCTCTTATTATGTGGGTTAGATGCAAAATAGTGATTAGAATTTGGTAATACATATTTACACACTCACAATGTAAAATGCCATAGTTTTTAGACTTTATGTCTATTTAATGCATTGAATGAGCATCATAATGGCCAAGGGTAGAACTATTTTGTAGAAAAAGTATTATTGATAAGTAAAAGTTGATCTACTTTTTCACAATGATATAAGGCACAATGATAACACAGCTTTAGTGTCTCTGATGTGTCTATAAACAGAAAAAAGCACTTATTCTGGTAGATAAATGTACACAAAGGGTGTGATTATGCACAACTTCAGTGAATTACCTCCCTTTATTTATTGGATACTTAGATAAGTGCATAAATTCTAGTTTCTGGCTACCTAAATGAGAAGAAAATACACAATACTATCCATTCCAAGTACATTTTGGTCTGAAGAGGTGATTTACATGGTAACACCTGAACGAAGCTTTCAATGGTCATATTTGGCTCCAAATGAATGCAAAAATGGCCAAAAAAATGGGTGTAGAAGTCAGATTTTAGGCTATTACTGTGCTGTTAGTCCAGTGGACCTTGGTTTTTCCATATATTGTATTTTTTATATCCATGTAAGAGAGACACAATATATATAAAGAATTTTGGCATTTTATTGACATTTTGGCTTGTATTTAAGACTATATAAGCAAATATTTGGAGTGGAAAAATACAGCAGAGCAGTTTTAAAATACCTAGTTACACCCAAAATGTTGCTATGTGTGTACAAATAATGTGTAATCCATAATCAGGTCACTATACAGTAGTTATTAAGTATGTTTGCTAAGCTAAATCTTCATTCAGGAAGTCTATTGGTAATAAAATGTTGAAATTTGGGTGAAAAATCACTTATTTTGTTATGGGTGGGGTAATAAAATTGCTCCCTGCTACATCCTTTTGTTATCCCCCGCCGAAAATTTTCGGCGTAGGATATAGAAATAGTCTCCGTCCGTCCGACCTTCCGTCCTTACGTCCGTCCGTCCGTCCTTCCGTCCGACATTTTTGTCCGGAGCATATCTCTAAAAGTATTTGAGTTATCAACTTGAAACTTCATAGGTGGATAAACCTCATTGAGGAGGAGTGCAGTGCACAAGAATGATAACTCTACCTTGCATGATTTTTGAGTTATTGCCCTTTGTTATTTTTCAAAATTGATTTTTGTCCAGAGCATAACTCCAAAAGCCTATGAGATATTAACATGAAACTTCATAGGTGCATAGATCTCACTCAGGAGGTGTGCAGTGCACAAGAATGATAACTCTACCTTTCATAATTTTTGAGTTATTGCCCTTTGTTATTTTTAATACCTAATTTTTCACCTGAGTGGAGCATAACTCAAAAATTGTTTGAGATATCAACATGAAATGTCATAGGTGGATAGATTTTATTGAGGAGGAATGTTGTGCGCAAGAATGATAACTCTTCCCTTTACAATTTTTGAGTTATTGCCCTTTGTTTTTTTCATGTTATTTTGTCCAGAGCTTATCTCAAAAAGTATTTGAGGTATGAACTTCAAAGGTGGATGGATCTCATTGAGGAGGAGTGCAGTGCTTAAGAATGATAACTCTGCCCTGCATTCTTTTTGAGTTATTGCCCTTTGTTATTTTTCAAAATTAATTTTTGTCCAGAGCATAACTCCAAAAGCCTTTGAGATATCAAAATGAAACTTCATAGGTGCATAGATCTCACTCAGGAGGTGTGCACTGCACAAGAATGATAACTCTACCTTTTATAATTTTTGAGTTATTGCCCTTTGTTCTTTTTCATACTTAATTTTTCAATTCAATTTTTTTCTCAAAAAGTATTTGAGGTATCATCTTGAAACTTCATAGGTGGATAGATTTTACTGAGGAGGGATGCAGCACACAAGAATGATAACCTACCCTGCATTATTTTTCAGTAATTGCCCATTGTTATTTTCAGCCATCAGTATTTACATAGGTTTCAAATCTGTAATCACTATAGCCATCAGTTTTCATTACCAAAAGACCTCTTTAAATGAAATTATTCCGCTCTACTACATTCTTCCAATGAGCAAACACATTCGGCGGGGGATGGCCATGTTGACATGGCTCTTGTTAGAAAATTAGTATTTTGAAGCACTTCTGTAATGAGAACAGTGTAGTTTTGCTATCTGAGTGATTTTATGGAAGTTGTTACAAAATTGGCTTCAGAATAATGAATTATGTATGAAAATCACATGCTAACATTCATTTTCAGAATATCCGGAATGCGACATAACGGCGCTTGTTAGAAAAAAGGGAACTTCAAAGTTTTAAATGACTTAAGAGTGGTGAAAATGCATCAATATAATTGGTAATTGTATATGCAACTTCATTTATTATTAGATATTAGAATACTAAACATTTAATATTCCCTTTAGGTCAGGGAATCGCATTGTAACATGGCCAGCGATTGGCTGAAAAAAAGTGCAGGGAAAACCGTATGAGTCAATTTATACATGAGGTGATTGGATGAAAGTGGGGTATTTTTAAGTATAAAAACTAATTTAAAAAGTAACACTACATTGTTTTCTGAAGAAAATGAAATATTTCATGAGTCTCTGTGATAATTTTGACTTGGATATTTGCATTTATAAAAAGTGTATGTCAGTCCTGTGATCAGCAGAAAATTTCAATGAAATGGGGGGTAATCCTCTTTGAAGTCATTTTGCAAAAAATTTGGTTGGCTACCCCTATATAACAGGAACATTTTTATGTGTCAGGCATTTCATTCTGCTAGAAAAATTACCTCTTTAGCATGAAAACTCAATTTTAAGGTAGGATTAGGGACCATTTCTTATAATGTAAGTCTATGGAAATATCAATGTGAGTGTCTGACCTTGACTTCCATGCAAAATACTAGTTCTCTCAAATTATACAAATTGATAACATAACAAAAGAACCAAAAGATAGCTTATGTTTATGGCAAATAAGTATTTTTTTTCGCATGATGTAAATTTTCTTTGTTTGTTTGCTAGTTTTATAGATAAGTTTATAGGAGAGCAATAAATACAGATACAGGAACATCCGGTATCAATATCACACCAACCACATCTGCTGCAGTGATGTAAATATCATTTCTTATCAGATATCAAACTATTTCTAGTAATCATGGTGACATGTGACATAACTAATTAACATTAATATTTGAGTCATATATAATTATATATTCCTTTGTTAGAGAGAGAGCAACAAATACTTTATATCAGGACTATGATCTTTATCATTCATTAAAAAATTAGCGGTGATTAGTACAGGCATACTATTTATTCAAGCCGAGCAATGAACTAAATATGAGAATAGTTCTAAGATTAAAAGAAAGAATGAGAAGAAGATACTTTATTTTTTCCCTAGGATTAGCTCTGGTAATACTAGTTTATCTGAATGGTAAGTTTTGCATTGTTGAATATGTACATACATATTTGCACACATGTACAAAATTACTCTATGCTGCAAATGAAATAAATACAATTTTGATAACTAGAATTATGAAGAAATTTATCATGCGTAATTTTTATTACGTTGAAATGTTTGTTGTTTAAATACTAAGATAATTGTTTTCAAAAGGATCAACTTTGTTCGTCGTATTCCAGAATTTTTAGCATCAAGTTTAAAGTGTTGTGTGGAAGCTGTAAAACGTTTGTCAATTTCAGTTGATATGTTAATCAGTTTTTCGGGATCATTGGTTTCAAATCCTCTTACTGTGAAAAATAAGATATTGAAAACGCAGGAGCTAATGGCATGAGAAAGGTTGCACCCATCCATTATCTTAAAATCATCACGATTCGGCAAGTTGGTTTTTGTTTTCGCCAGTCTAGGTTGATTCCCCTTTCTATAAGTTGTATTTTACTAGGAATAGAAATGTGATGATCAAACAGTGATACCATTAAATTCAATTTAAGGTGGCTGTTTCGAGTTAAAGTGTCTGCTTTTATATAAATTCAAGTTTGATGACAAAAGAAGAAATATACCATAAGTAGTAAATATGCAAATTTGAATCAAAACTTAATTCGCCCAGAAGTCCCAGAATATATTTCAATATACACAATATCTTGTAAAAGATCAAAGGATATTAAACATCAACATACGTGGACAAAAATTGACAGAGTCCAGACTATTTTAAATGTCTAACTTATTTGTTGTATGGCAAAATGTGCATGCACATTTTTGATAACACATGCAACATAAACATTTACATCCTTTTTTAAAATTTTCGTTTTCATCTAATTACATACATTTGATAAATTTTAATGGTTAAATTGGACATCTATGCGATTGGGTAGTGAAATGGAAACCTTAAATCTCCTTAAAAAACTCCAAAACGATCATCTTAGAGCAAAGGTAAATTAATTACAAGGATTGTTCGATTGAGCTTCTTCGTAGATGACAGTAGTCACTACAAGCTACCATCCATGTCACTTTTCACCGGCTTAAGAAGGAATTAAATGTATTTATATTTCATTACTTTAATAAGCAATCGTGTTGTAACATTTTGAAAATCAAATAATTGATATGCTCATTAGTTGAAAGTAATTAACCCTAACCCTAATACAATTGGGTTGTAAAACATTTTTTATTCACAAAATTATAATTTTGTATTCCGCGAATGTATAAAAACCTTATTTTCAAAATAAAGCGGATTTACGAAGAGGTCTATCAAGAGTCCATTAAAAAACTTTGAAATGTGAATGATAGAGAAAATATCTTTATACGTGAAAACTACTATTTCTATTCCAGTAAGAACAACTGATGAGCTTTATTGCAAGGAAAAGTTTGGTGTCCATAGCGAATCATCACATATTAATTACTCTGTAAGTTCCGGGACTTTCAACCAATATTTGTATTTTTTATAATATTTTATTTCACCATTTTTTTCTGGAAAATTGTTTGGTTATAATTCCATGCCGATGTCATATTTCCGACTGTTAAATGTGACAAGGTACTATTTTTATAATAAAGTGATTCTTTTTGATTTGGTTTTAATTTTACGCTTGTTCTAACACGTAGAGCACAAAAGGAGCACAAATCATTATAATCAATTTGCAGTTATTGTTAGTATTACACCGCGTGACATCTACGTTACGGTTGTAACATCCGTATTATGTTTTCTTTCATTTCATTCAGCCAAACATAAATAATTTATCATTTAACTCCATAATTAATATCCTACATGGATAAAATATAAATAAGAAAGACAAAGTAGGAGTGGCTAGTACAGGTTCACTTTAATTTATCGAATAAATAAATATACATTCATACACATCGACGACACTTGAAAAAAAAATCACTTTAAACTAGTGAGGAGTGTCTCTGCACTTAAAAATTATAACATATGCTCATATAAAAGTCCCATGTCGTCGATCCGAACATTCCAAAAATTGTGGTTCCGTGCAATTCCAGTGCACTGTAAGGAATAATATGTCTTAATACACACAAATGTGTTACCTCAAAGTCAGAACCACAAAACTCACTCAAACTTAGCATCCATCCTTGCAACGTTATCAAAAGACAACAAAAAATTGTCTACTCTGAAAAAGACAAAACAAAGATAATTTCCATATTAAATAGACATTAATCAATACCGTTGATTAGCCTTAAAGTATACATTTTTTAACATTATTGTGACATTACAAAGTCCATGTGACATATACAATCTTAAGTGTAATCTCAAAACGAGGGCGGGGTGGGTGGGCGTCTGTGTGTAGTGAACCTATAGTACCTTGAATGGTCAAATACCCGTGTACATACATCTTATATATTGACCAGTCTTACGCATCGATACGCTTGGTGGACAGCTGAAATACAGCTGCGCTGTCCACAGTGACCGAAATATCATATTATATTAAAGACCAATGATAAATAGATATATTTTGTTGTTATAAGTTACCCTGTATGACTCTGAAGTTAACTTAAGTACTTTAATCATAATCATTCCTGGAAGATAATATAATGCATTGTTAGAATATATGTTTGTTAAAACTTGTCCTCCAACTCTTTTGCTTTTAGAACAATGCAAAGCATCCATGAATCTGTTTTGTATGTTAAAACTTAAAAAACATAATTAAACTAAAATATGATTAAACTAAATATTTTTAACTACAGGAAACGAGCTATGTCTCGGGAAATCTCGGTGAAAGGTTGTTTTCTGAGCGTAGACAAAAAATCGAAGAAAGATGTGATAACATATCTCATATAGGAAAGACCACAGATTTTGCAATTAAAAGTCATCTTATCATCGACAAGAAATACAAGCTAGTTTACTGCTTTGTTGAAAAGAACGGCTGTACGTTTTGGAAGAGAGTGTTTCAAATACTGAATGGCTTTAAAAATGTTTCGGATCCGTTTGATACACAAGCTATGGATGCATATGGTGGTAACCAAACTGCTGAAAACATGCCTTTTGATACAATTCACAAAGCTCTTATTTCTTCAACAAAGTTTATGTTTGTCCGTGATCCTTACGAGCGTCTGCTGTCAGGATACGTGGACAAACTGTTTTTACCTTACGCGCCATATTGGTTTGACTTAGGAAGGTTCATAGTCGACAAATTCAGACGAAACAGCACGTCTGGAGCATTATCCTGTGGCGATGACGTCACATTTGAAGAATTCATCCGATATTATATATACTCTTTGAAAACCGGTATCAGATCAGATGTTCACTTTTCTTCAAATTACAAATTCTGTAGACCATGTGAAATTAAATACGACTATGTTGCGAAAATGGAAAATTTCAAAGACGAAACTCTGTTTTTATTGGAAAAACTTAATCTGTCAAAAACAATAAAAATTAAGGATTTCGACTCAGAAACGGAGCGTGATGGTATTTTTAACGCCGTCGATTGGGGTTTTCATGTTGATAAAAATGTTGATAACTGCACAACAAAAGACAAAGCCCTATACAAGACATACAAAAAGTTGCAAATAAGGGGAATCATAAGCAAGGATATACCATACCCTTTTTCAAATGTATCGAAAATTGATATTGATGAGTATAAGAAATCATTGCTAAAAGCTAACGCCGACCCCGGACCTCGAGAGAAACGCAAATTAAATAGAAATGAAGCATTTTTAGAAGCGTATAATTCTCTTCCACGAGATTTATTTCAAGAATTACAAAACATATTAAGTGTTGATGCAGCGTTATTCGGATATGAATCAAATCCTGAAATATTTATTTATAAATCAAAACCCACGAAGTATCAGTATTTCAACACAAACAGGAGAAAGTAACACATCTAAATGAAATTTTAAAAAAGTTAAGTCTAAGTATATCGGCCAACCTACACAAATGAAACATATACATGCTCATAAAGTACATGTATGTTTTGTGTATTGTTACATGTTTGTTTTGTGATGTCATATCTTGTTAAAATAAGTAAGGATTTTCTTTTCATTCCACCTCATGCCCCATTTTGTGTTCATCACTACATCCCTTATCATTTCACTTATAACATATTCCTCACTTCCTTTCACTGTCCTTGTGTCATCTCCCGTTTTTGTTCCGTGCCTTCTGGGTTTTCTGCTGTTGTGGCTTGGTTGTGTCGGGGGGCTGCGTTCTGGGAACCTCGAACGTCGCCTTGCCTTATATATCTTTGTTCTCATTTTTTAAAACATACTAGTACTGATCATGGTGGAAGAGGGATGATGAAATGATTGGTATACAAAATGAGAATGAACATTTAATTGCTGCTTTCTTTATTTCCATGCTGAATGCCCTTATATCATTATATCTAAATAAAATAAAAATTTAGATAAAAAGAAACACTGCTTAATTTGATCTTTTTTTATAACTTATGTGTTAGAAGCTTTTCTGTAATCTTGTTTTACTTATTTTACTTATACCATGATTTGTTGATTTTCGTACTTTAATTTGCTTTAAAACGAAATAGAAAAAGGGAACCCCTAAGGAACGTAAAAACGTCATGAAAGAAAGTTTGATTTAAATAGAGAAAAAACAGAATCCCACAAAAACGATTATTGAGGCAAAACTGAAAATGCTGCAGACTCTGTAAAACTGAAACTATTCATGGTCGTTACAAGAAAGTGCAAGTTAATGTCCACACACCTGAGGCCTTCCTCCACCAATGAAGCTAATACCATTACATTGTGAACAAACTAAATAACCTGATAAAAGCGTTGCTTTAAAGCATAAAATGGGGGAACCATTATCTATGTTTAGTGAACTTAACAAGTCATTGCAAAAATTCCCTTTTCCATCATCCAACAATGTTTATCAATTGTCCACAAGTTAAATGTTGATACTGCATATCAAAGACGCCGCCAAATGATGTGAACAGTCAAAGGTAATGTACAAGATCTGAATTGAAAATCGTTCTCTATTACAGTTGCATATCCGAAGCACTAATCAATTTTTTCTCCATGTTCTTGTTACGTGTCTGAAAGACTGAAATGTTTATCTGTTGCGACAATGATTGAAATGTCTGGTCGAAACAAAATAAATTGGATAACAAAAAAAATTGAAATGATTGGTAAACTTAAAATAAGTTCAAGACAATATGTGCCGAGAATATGTCCATTTAAATATTGGTGCGAATTGCATAATGTTCGTTCGAATGAATTTGAGGACGAAATGTCTCTTCGGACGGAGTTATAATGAGTCCGTGAATATCAACCAGTACATGGTGACACTTTAACCGAGAAATAGTTCCATGCACCGATGTTTAAGATATTGAAGTAAGATTATTCTCGTGCTTGTTCAAACAGGAAGTTCTTCTGTTGACATTTGCATTATGGTATGTTCATTAATTGAATTTGTTTTTTTTTTCTTCTATTGTTTTGTAAAAGGGAGAACACATTTTAAAGCAGTATTGACAAATGGTGCTAAGCTTAAGACTTACTTAGTGGGCATCAATTTTGATATCATATTTGAAAATTTGTGTTGGAAGGCTATTTTCTTTGATGGCATGGATATACAACTTAGTACGATCATGAATGAATAATTCAAAGCATATAAGACTTTTTGTCTTTATTCAAAACAATGTGAATAATGAAATAATGTTTAAAAAAAATAATAAAACTTGTCTTGGTTTTCCTGGTCATTCTGCTACGGTATTATGATCAACACATTTTGTATCAACCAAATATAATCCAAGCATTTAAACACTATCAGCATGAAAAAAATGTCAATAGTTGTATGCAATACATATATCAGTGATTAAAAAATAACTTATTTTCTTTTAAAACCATGTGAACATACGAGTAGTAATTTGCTATACCTTAATGTAAATATATATATTTTGAGTGTTACATTGAATAATGAATGCATTTGATTTTAATTGATAATTACATATTACCAGTAATGTCCAACTTCAGTAGATTTCAATTTTAGATGATATATTGTTAAACAAAGAAAAAATGGCATTATAATCATATGTTAATGACTAACTACTTGTATTTTGGTTTGGATGGCTTATACTGGTACTGCAAATAAATTCATTAGCCCATATTGCATAAATATTGGAATGACAGCTCTCCACTTGTGTCTATATGGCGAGTGTTGCGATGCCTACACCAGTCCAATAGACACTCTGTTGCACAAGAGGAAATTGAAGCTGTAGGAAATTCCTGTACACGTAAGGAATAACACTCCTTTGCTACTTGACAAACTTGTGTGCAATTATTAGTGACGGAAATTGTGTCATCGCAGTCAAAAAGTTTTGTCATGTTAGAATTACACTCTGAAATAGAAAGCAATGTGTACAGTTTATAAAGAATTGGAGGTATGTATCTTATTCTCATTCGTCGTATTTACAAGCTTAGCTTTCTTAATAATATATGTCATATGTTGCAGTTATAATCGGGATATCCATCCCGAGGGGACCTGCTATTTTTTCTGGCATATTCTACCAGAACCATTATATTTAAAATTCTTTACCTTAATTTTGCAATTTTCCATGGAAATTTATGTAATTACATCCTTAGCTATTTTATAACACCAGCGTGTGAAATTATAACTCTATATTATAAGCATGACATTGTATGGCAAGCGGCTTATCTGACTTCCCCATGCCAGATGAAATTTCCGGCATGGGTAAACTAACGGAAACGCCAGTCTCATATGCAAGAACAATTTATCTGGACTTCTAAATTTTACCCTATTGCTTTGCGTTGTTCTGCTGCTGGAAAAACATAAAATATTACATCGGATCATCCATTGAAACATGATATTCTTTACCTGAGTAAAATGAAGTTCCTTAAATAAAGAGAATGTGGTTACTGAATATTAGCTCTATTCGTATTTAAATAGCAAATGAATTGAATAAGATCACTCATCGCACCAATCTATGAAAAATAGCTACACTGTATATATTCTGTAAATACCAACCAGTATTCCGTACTGCGTAGTCATAACAACCTGGTAAACTAAATTCTCGTTTGTAAACTTCCTTTGTGCCCTGCATTATCAGACAGTAAAGGGCCGACCCGTTACCATATTGGTAGATAACATCACTCGAGACTTTAGTGTTACATGATACAGTATAGCCGTCGTCGTCGGAATACACCGTCTTGCAGGACATATTATCTAAGAATCAAGAATAACAAACAAGAATATTAAATGATATTTCACATTAAAACTGATACAAGAGCTTTAACAGTATCATGCGTCGTTATACCAATGATAACGTTGTTGAGAACAAACAAGCGCTCTTTGAATTAGCAGCGAAATTTGTAACATCTATGGAGTTATAAAACATGTGTCGATAAATTCTTCCTTGGAAAATATTATTCAGCAGAAAAAAAAGAGGAAAAAGAAGAAGATGAACAAGAAAAAAGAAGAAAAAAAAGAAGAAGCAAAAGAAAACAGAAGAAGAAGAAGAAAACAGAAAAATGATAAAGAAAAATTAGAAGAAGAAGAGAAGAGGAAGAATATAGAAGACGAAGAAGAAAACAGAAGAAGGAGAAGAAGAAAAAGTAGAAGAAGGGGAAGGGAAGAAAAAGTAAAAGAAGAAGAAGAGAAGAAGAAAAAAGAAAGATGAGTAGAAGGGGGGAGAGGTAGAAGAAGAATTCAAATAATAATCGTGATGATTACAATAATAATCATAAAAGTGATCATATTAATAAGAAATAATCAATTTTATAATTTCATCTTTGAGTAGAAATATTTGAAATATATTATGGTAAACTTTCACAAGTGCCTTTTAACAATATGTACAGCTTTTCATTTTTTCTGAAAATGTATAAACAGAATATGGAAAAAATGCTTAAAACGCGCATTTTAACTGTTTCTCATAATATTGACTAAGTACAGTTAAGACATTGTGCAAAGCCAGACAAAAAAGAGGTTTTAGTCTATTGCAATGGTTTCTTTATGTTTTATTTTTTAGGATTTTTTTCCATGAAATAACCAAAAATAGATTGGGGAAAATCAATTCAATGGCATAAAGTCGAAAGTGATCTAGGTATCCATTTTTTCCGTTTAGAATGCTAATATTGACCCTGCAAAGTTTAATTAAGTTTTTCATTCTGCTAATTTGTCTTTATGTTACGAAGGCATACAATTTTGAATTTGTATTAAAGCGATGTTAATTCTATACGGATAATCGCTGTTAAAATATAAAATGTAAAAATGTTGGACAAGGAAGCATTCATGAACATGAATATCTGTATCTATATCAGAATATATTTTACCAGTTATATCTTTCTTTGTTTTATTTTCCACAAACTTTCCCCAATCAATTGGCTCAAACCCAATACCCCTCTACTTTTCACCACCTTTAGATGAAATACCTGATGTTTGAACCATTTTTCCGTTCGTTAAATTTCTGCTGGGATTATTGGTACTGAAATCTCTGTCAGGAAACTTGAAAAACAAAAAAAGAACACAAAAAGTTCCCCCAAAACGCCTAAAGTGCGTTGTGACTTTTTTGCGTTTAATCGTTATCTTATTTTTAGTTTGGAAAGAAACTAAAATTCCTCTTTACGACACGTTCTGTTGCTATGTAAATTAAGAATACCATGCAAGTGTCTGATATTACAAAAATTATCAGGCGCACAGGATGTTATTTCATGATGTTTCGTCCCGCACTCCATCTGAAATGCGCGTCACCAGATTCGAAGCGAGAGAATTTTCCACCGGTTTGATCGTGGTAACGTACGGCTTTTTCTCTCAAATTCACTGTTTCTTTTACATATATATCTAGCCAGAATTGGCATGATTGCTTACTTGACAACATATTACAACTTTTTTAAGTCAGTGGTTTCAGTTAATATACATTTATGTACGCAGTAATATGCCAGGGGGCATGTCTTTAAAAATAGTTCCAAATTTTTATTTTTTAAAATCAATATAAATTTACCTGTTATATCTATACCAACTTTCCTCGTATGCTTCACTTTATTTTTAGAGTCTAATAATCGAATTTCCACATCGCCAACGGAACTACACTTAGTTGCATTAACAGATGTACATTGCACATTGATTGTTGTTTTATTAACTTTCATATGACACTTGAAATCTGATGTTTTCTGAAACGATAAAAAAAAATCATTGTTTTCAATATCTATAAAGAAGGAATTTAAATGGTTTGTCTTCTTGTCCTTTTTTCTTCTGGACCGTACTTTTGTATGTATGGGCACTTCAAAGTTTGATATATGTTTTTGCAGTTGTGTACGAATAGTATCAGTATTTTTGTTAACCATGAATGACCACACCAGCCTTTTTACAGAACTTAGATACTTCTAATACAATAAGGATTTAAACTAGCATGCTAGAATGAAGTATGATATAATTATTATTTTGGCCTCTGAAAATGGGGCTTTAAGGGGTACGCTATGCATTCGATATGGACGTTTTGACTCTGGAAATTGAAACGACGCTAAATTGATAAGATTTGGTCCAATAACCATTTCTATTTGAACATTACGTGTTTTTATAACGCTGAATGTTCATTGGTTGAATTTAAGTTAAGTGTGCAATCGCTGAAAGTGCATCGATTACAGTTGTGAAATAAATATGTGTATACATAGGTAGCTAATGTGGATTTTATTCTCCAATCATGTAATCAACATACCGCACCAGCAACGTTCTTATATATAGCCGTTACGTTAGAAGGAGTCAACCTGGTGGGGAATGTACATTGTATAGAGTATGTTTCTCCGAGTACGACACTTATCTTGTCCGGACATTCCTCTGTAAATAAAAAACAATTGAGCCGCGTCATGACAAAACCAACATAGTGCATTTGCGACCAGCTTTTGCTGTTTGCGTTTGCGATCTGATCAGGATCCATGCTGTTCGCTATCAGTTTCTCTACTTGTAATAGAGTTGGTAAGCAAACAGCATGGATCCTGATCAGACTGCGTGGATGCGCAGGCTGGTCTGGATCCATGCTGGTCGCAAACGTACTATGTTGGTTTTGTCGTGACGCGGCTCAAAAATCATTACATTTTGAACCTCATCAGCAATATTTCGATAAATTGTATATTTTTCATGGTCATTCGTTAGAATGGCGATCAGACTAGCGTATTGAAGGCGACCTTTAAATACTACCCGATACATTTGCGATTCATCCGAAATATCCTTGTTTAGATATTTGATTAGTCAGAAATTTCTCCAGAATGTACACTGACCAATGCCAATCCTGAGATTTGAAATAGAACTCAGAAATATGTTTTATAACTATTTGGCGTAAATAGTGTTACGAACGGACTCAAGAGTGAGTCTATAATAAAGATTCTTACAAAATTGAATTAAAACTAATTATGTATTAAGTATACTAAAATCCACAGGAAAAGGATAATATTTCTGAATTCACTCATAAAAAAACTATGACATGCAGTATCGTTTCAGTGTGTGCTTTATGTTGCAGCTAGAGTTTCTTATCCAAGGTATATAAAATAATTCTTACTCTAGCGTGGATTATTTAAATCATACGAACAAAAAAGATATTTATACATACCTTGAGGTTCTTCATTTAATACTTGACCTCTTGGTGCTGCAAAAATAACAATAATATGAGCCGCGTCACGACAAAACCAATATAATGGGTTTGCGACCAGCATGGATCCAGACCAGCCTGCGCATCCGCGCAGTATGATCAGGATCCATGCTGTTCGCTATCAGTTTCTATACTTGTTATAGGGTATGTAAGCAAACAGCATGGATCCTGATCAGACTGCGCGGATGCGCAGGCTGGTCTGGATCCATGCTGGTCGCAAACCCATTATGTTGGTTTTGTCATGACACGGCTAATATATTGAAAACTGAGCCACTGCATGTCTGAATTAATTACACAAGTTTATACTGTCTACACAGGGGTTAAATTTGCAGACCATTTTTGTCAATTTTAGGTTTATTTTCTTGCCGCATTTAAATGGATAGAAGCCAATAATGTCAGCTTTTCATCGATGTCGACAGCATCAAATTTTCATTCTTAAAAATTGGAAATAATTGAAAAAAAATGCATTGCATTTTTACTTATCATCGGTTTCATGAGTTTACTATTGTCAAACTTGAAGAATTTGATAAAATATGATTCTTTAAAAGCGAAAATCAATCTGTTTTGCAATTTATCAACCACAAGAACGAACATCAGTATGTGAGGCTCTTGTGTGGTGTTACTACGATCTTGGATTTTCCTTCTCTTTACAATACCATTTATACAACATATGAGTTTCCTGTGTGGTATTAGTAGCCCTTGGGTTTCCTTCAGTTTACACGGACATATGTGAGGTTCCGTTGTGGTCTTATTTAGACCCTGGGTTTCCTTCAGTTTGCACTACCACATGTGAGGTTTTCCTTTGTGGTCTTACTAAGACCTTGGGTTCCTCCAGATTACATAGCCACATGTGGGGCTCTTGTGTAAATTTTTTAAGATAGTTTACACTACCCAATGTGAGGCTCTTGTGCGTCTTACTTAAATCTTCGGCTTTCTTCATTTGTTTGTTTGTTTGTTTGTTTCATTTTACGCCTTTTCTTAACAGTATTTCAGTCATATAGGCGGGTAGTTTCCTGGAGAGTTACACCAGTACTAGACTACCTTCCTCCGCGCTAAACTACCAAAGCATCTTCCCGGGGATCGAACCCACGCCAGAGAAGTAACTGGATTAGAAGTCATCGACTCTAAAACCCCTTGACCACGGAGGCTTTCATCATTTAACACTATTACAAAAAAATCAGTTTAGTAAAATTGTAAAGTACTCACTAGGATCATCATCCTTATTGGCCTCAACAACAATTACAGCCGTTTCCGATAAGTAATGCCAAAAATACTGTTACGAGAATGCAAACATTTTCAGTACGAAGACGACCTGTTACGTAAAAAACGAAATATTCATAACACATTTTATAATTGTATGTATATGTAGAACTTTGATTTTTGTAGAAATATACATAGGATGCTGTGGAAACTACATGTACTTCAAAAGTTTAATTTTATTTCTTTAGATAAAACATCAATTAGATGAAATAAAATAATAAATTGTTGTTGGTTTGTGTTGTTTGTTGTTTTTTTGTTTTTTGTTTTTTTTTTGTTGTTGTTGTTTATTTGAGTAGGAACATGAATCTTCCGGTTCTAGCTTGCTTAATAGCTTTTTCACGTCAAAGAGTTTAAAGTCTGTGGGGGATCCGAACTCACAACGGTGAGGTGCAAGCGGGTTCTAAGAATATTCAGATATTTAAGTCGGCAAAGGGGTTGGGTTAAAAATAATGAAAAATAATTACTGTCTGTTCTTTTGCTTGACTCTTATTCGTGTTCATGTCTACACTAACTTTGGTCTGTTGCTAAACAACATTGCCCAGCTCTTCAATTTCAATATTTTCGTTCCTCTAAAAAATAATAAACTGCATGAAGCATGACCATTGACTCACATGACTTTTTTCTCTTTTTATCGTCTTTCTCTTTAAAGATTGTCACCCTTTAAAAATACGAAAAGCAATAGGATATACATATTACCAAATATTATCTACACAACCACCACCCTCCTCCCACCACCACCCCCGGAATAAAACCACTCCATTTGCCATTTGTCGTTTTTGCCTCTCGTGTCCATATTTTTTTGTCGCTACGTATTATATGCCTAAAATTTCATGCTTAAAATCTGTCATATTTAAGTAAGTTATTTTTTGGAAATTTGATATAGACATATGCAGCATTCAATTATAAATGATTGGCAACAATACTAAGTCTTAATAATGACATATCAATACTTAATAATGACATAACAATACCTCATTATGATGACGAATGAAATCTCGTTGTGTTGCTGCCTGTAATAAGAAAACAAATGAAATTGTGGTTTAATCCGCATTTAATCAAACACTTGTAGAAATATGATATTTTATAATTGAGCCGTGTCATGACAAAACCAACATAATGGGTTTGCGACCAGCATGGATCCAGACCAGCCTGCACATCCGCGCAGGTCTGATCAGGACCCATGCTGTTCGCTATCAGTTTCTCTACATGTTATATGGTTTGTAAGCGAACAGCATGGATCCTGATCAGACTGTGGCAGATGCCGCAGGCTGGTCTGGGATCTATGCTGGTCGCAAAACCCATTATGTTGGTTTTGTCAAAACACGGCCCAGTATACTGGAAACGACAACAAACGTAAAATATACTGCGATTAAAAGCGACTGTGCAACCTGGTGTATCTGTTCTTGTGGCTAATGTTAACGGTGAAAATTTTCAAAGTTTATATTGTACAATATTTTCTTTTTGGGGGGGGGGGGGCATTATAATTAATTAGATATAACCCTATTCAATTCAAGGGCAAGTAATTTACCGATTATTTAAAGTTACACGGCTGAAGGAATAATCATAAATAATAAATGTTCTTTACGTAAAATAAACAATACTCGTAGCTCAGAAATCAATAAACGTATAGAAAATGAAATTATCGACCAGGAAGAGTTTCTCCCAATCCATTTTATGCTTAATTTTAATAGTCTTTTTTAAGCGACATAGTCTTTAGTTAACAAAAACACATTGTAGTGTTTTTTTTGTGTTGCGTGTGTAAAACTTACTTCTTCACTTTTTCCTTATTTACTTATTACTTCTATACCATGTTTGTATTATTATTTTGTTTTGCTTGATTGTTCACTCTTATGCCCTTAAGGGGCCATGAGTCTTTGTTTATAAATTTAAAAAAATTAAATAAATAAAGTCACATAAAGTCACTTCCTGCTTATAAAACAGTGAGCACTGCATAATTTAATATACAAATATCGGTCTTATTTGGTGGAGGGTGGCGGCCTGTAAAAACGATCGCCACAGTGATTTATCTACACAAGCAAACACGCGCTTAATAGTCTCATTAAAAACTCAAACAGATCAAGTTCTTGTATAACTGTTTTTCTTTCTATTTATAGTCATGCGCTGCATATTTTCTTTTACTTATGATCGAAAATGGCATGTTCTGATCTGTTTTTACATAAGTATACCCATATCGCTTATATATAGGCTTCAGTTTTCTTTAATTTAAATTCGTGCTTATATCAATAGTGGTTCACAAAATAAAGTTAAACATTCAAAGTTAAAAAAAGATTAGACAATAATAATACATCCACACAAAAAGGAAGTTAAAAATAAATGAAATTAAAAGTCGAAATGAGTGTAAAATTTAACATTTAAATATCTACTGGTTTTTATAAAGCCGAAATAATAAAAACTTACCAGTGGATTCATTATTCTATATCCTTATTTACCAGTTATTTCATACCATTTATTAAACAATTGCTTACTTTTGTAAAATTAAAATCCCACAAAATAAAATATCATTTTAGCTTATATGAAATGTGTGCACGCTAGTGTTTGCTCCGTTTAATGTATTGTACAGTTTAAAAGCCATGTAATAGTATATACTTTTCAAATTGATATAATTACCGACATTTGAAACGTGTATCTCAACGTATAATAACAAACATTGAATGGAAAAATAGCATAATAAACATTAAAGTAGTAATATGATAGATATATTTTGAAAACATTCATTGATCTGCACGGCTTTCTTGCTCGTTTGGGGTTATTGGGGAGCTATGCGACCCCAATGTTAATAAAACTGTCTGTCAAATCTTACTGCCGCGGTAATCAGGTCAAAAAATAGTACCCTTTGATTTTTTTCTAAGCTGACTCATCACTCATCACAGGACATTTACAATATGAAAATATTTTCATTCTTTAATTTCATATCTGCAATTTGTAAAGATAATAATTCTCTGAAAAATTCTTGATTTTTGTTTAAATCACTACTCCGTGACGTCATACTGCCGCGGTAATCAGGTCAAAAAATAGTACCTTGATTTTTTTCTAGCTGACTCATCACTCATCACAGACATTTACAATATGAAAAATATTTTCATTTCTTTAATTTTCATATCTGCAATTTGTAAAGATAATAATTCTCTGAAAAATTCTTGATTTTTGTTTAAATCACTACTCCGTGACGTCATACTGCCGCGGTAATCAGGTTTAGGCAAACGTACGTTCTGTAATAAATAGTTCTGGTATGAAAACCCTTCAAAATAATAACTTTATCCATATTTTTTTAACAAAAAGCATAAACTGAAAATTTATAAGTAAATGCTTTAATTCAGTGGCAAATATTCTTTATTATTTTTGATAAACAATTTTCCAATTACTACGCAGCGACCAAACTGTTTATTGACGGGTCATTAACTAGAACGTTGCAACTACGTATTCTCAATATCATGCATGTTCTTTTGTTGTTATAAACTATTAATAGTCCTTAATATTTTTTAAAGACAAATAATTGTAAACTGTCGCACCTTACATCAGAGACATGATCATGCTTGCGTGATAACTAAGAAAACTAACTTATTTGTTACACCCCAGGAGGCTGTACGCGGAAAACGCTCATAAACCGCTAAATCATATAGCTGTTTAGTAAATATTTTGCATACATTTAACTAAAAAATTCACTGATGGTGATGAACATATTAGTTTTTAAAACATTATATTCTTTAACCATTATTCGCCGAAAAAAAACTATTTAACTACAAAACCCCTAAGGACCTCCGACAAAATTCCAGCACAATATTACATTTTACATTAGCAAAATAAAAAAAAGCAATACTTATATTTTCATCTTACATAATTCATTAATCAAACTTTTAACATAAAAAGTATCTTTGGTAATTGACAGATCCCTACTCTGATCTTTTATTTGTATAGGAATAAATTTTAACATGTGCTCTTTTTGTTTAGGAATATTTGTAGTGAAAGTCTTATATATTCACTAATCTCATAATTAGAATTAGGACAGGTCAGGAATTTTATACAAACAGTTGTTTAGTTAACTATGCTCATTTTAATCCCAATAGAAACATTCAAATATTTGTGATAAAAAAACATGACCAAAGTACCTAGTAGTCGTTTTAACTACCTAGTAGTAGTTAGTCGGTGATCCCATTAAAACTGATTATAGATTCGAATTGATTAAGAAAACACAAAAAGAAACATGTGTTTCCGTACAACAAAATCGAAGTAAATAGTGAACAGTTAATTGACAGAAAAATTATGTGGTCAAACATATGTTTTAACAAGGAAATAATTATTTCAGAGAAAGACGCAAAGATCAGTATGACCCCGTTATTGTGTAATTAAGAAAGTTTATTCAATTCTAGGGCATACATCATAATTTGATAGTCCATTTGTAATAAAATTCAAATTTTCAATACAGATTATGAGATACATAAAAAATATTAAAGAATAAAGAAGCTTTAATTAAAAAAACAAAAACAAAAAAACAAAAACAAAAAAAAAAACCGCCATACATATACAAATTACTTACAGTCGAGATCGGGAAGTCATTAACATATCTTACGAAACTTTTAATTGAAACCGATATTTGCTCGCGCTGAAGTGATAAATGTTTATTTGAAAAATAAAAAAAAAAGAACTTTTATGGTTGTGTTTCTAAAAATAATGGGCGGCATAAGAGGAAATTTCTTATTCATTTTACAACACTTGAAAAATTACTACAGAAAATGTATTGTTGTTTTTTTTCAAAAAAGGTGTGTGTGTTTTAAGTTTATTTATACTCGGCGCCGGAATAACCATATGTCCGAGATTATTAGCATCTGGGACGTCTTTTTCAAGCAGATTCTTCCTGGAAGCCCATTCTTCGTTCTTTGGTGGTAAAAAGACGACAATACCGTCAAGGCATCAACTTTCTGACTGACGACAACAAAAACGGCATCTATTAGCGCCAAACATCCAGAGTAAGTCACGACAGGTCAACCAATCACCTCTGGTACTTATGATGACTTGACTATGACCTTTCCGTGTGCCTTCTCCGCGACGTGCACGCCTCTGGAGGTATTTGGAGAAGTTTCAAAAAAAACACTTCCAAAAACACGCCATTTATAACACCATTCATAGCACTGACGGCTTCGATGTTCTCATCTATTTGCGGGAAATGGTCGACAGGGAAAACCCTACGTAATAACCGCACCACCCTGTTAAACAACAGATTTTCCGCAGTAATATATTTCAAGCTAGTGAGGTTTAAAAAATACACGTAGAAATCTATCGATTTAACTACCATAAGTTGGTGAGTTTGAGTGTTGGCGGTAAAAAAAGAAGATATAACTTCCTGATCAATTTTCTCTTAGGTTGATTCAGTTTTTGAATAAGCTTTGCAGAGATGTATTTTTTTTCAAGAAATATTAGCTTTAATATTATCCGACGCCGTCAGTAATGAAATGGATTAATTTTCTGAAACGTGATTTTATTCGAGATTTGCTTCTGAAGAAGACAACCTTCTGTCCGTTTAAGAGCATGAATGTTAATTAATACTCATCACAGACAGTATCTTATTGATCTCCAATTATGGTACATCTAAACGTGTATAATTTTTCTTATGTTCAATAAAAAATGTTGCATCACTTTGCAGTTGTTATTATCATTCAATAATATTAAAATGACATAAAATTATTTATGATGAACAGTCCTTAGAATATTTTGATAAGGAAACCGTCAGTTGTAAAATGTTATTGTTATCTGATAATGAACAGTCGTCATACTTGCTGGTATGTCATTTATTATTGGACAGTTTAGGTTTTTCAAAATTTGCATGATTAACAGTCGAATGTAGACCTTAATTAAATGTTCTGGAATATTAACCAAAATGAATAGTCAACCTCATTAACCATATATATGAATGGTTTGCAACACAACAGTAAGGATAAATAGCCCAATGTGCATATCTTTTTATTTTGTAGCATATTTTAAGCAAAAAGAAAAGAAACTGTAAGTCTGAAACATTCTCTCATAGCCTCCCCATCAGTACCATTCAGTGCTTTGATTTTTTACAATCGTAACTAGTCGGCTTTCTCCGGCAACTCCGTAAACTTATTTAAAGTCGCCCGAGATGTTCCGAGTGTTTTTCATAAAAACGTGACGTACAATGACATTAAATTTGATCAACTTTTCCGTTTCCGGTTTCCGCGAATAAACAAAGTGTTTTTGTTATCAAACACAAATAAAAACGTTTAATAAATAAAGGTGTTTAACCGCAGATACTATAATTACAACAACGTAAATCATTTGTACATTGACGTCACTATTGGGCACAACCAGAAGAATCCATCCTCTAGACCTTCTAGAAGCTAATCAACTTCTACACTATCTCGCCTTCTAGAAGAATACCCCACCCACCCACTGTTATTATTAGCGTGTACCCTTTCCGTCCTCCGTATCTTTCGAACCATTTTATTAAATTTTAGCATTTTACATATATATATTAAATATTCTATTTGTCTGTTTGCCACGTCTCAAAAATTATTATTAGTGTTCAGTGTTCCCATTTACGCACATATGTGCGTATTTTACGCACAAATAACAAAATTCACGTTACAGAAATTTAGGCAAGAGGGTAAAAATACGCACAGAAAGTCGGGAATCTTTAATCATGTATAATTCAAAAAATTATTCTTTTGAGCAATTTTTCAAACAAAAT